AATAACCAAAAAATACATAAGTTACTTTATCAATACTATAGATTCCACTCTAATTTATCAAGCTTAGTAATTAAGCTGTATTTGGGTCTAAAAAAATACAAAGTTTCAAGCAGACTAAAGACTCACCTCACCAGCTTGAAGATTTGTATCAAAGAATGAGATGACATCATAATACTTGAAAATGGATGAGAAAGCCATTAGGGGACATTCTGAGCTTTTGATTGGTTATTCATGTCATATATATAAGTGAATATAAGAGAGCATTTCCAAAAATGGAAAGAGGTGGGGGGGGGGCACGGTGTTTGATTCAGTACATGAGCAATATCTTGGCAAATAGAAAAGATAAGAGGTTCTTATTTTATATTCTAGCTTGTCAATATTAGTAGTTTGAGTTTCTAATTCGTATGAAACTATAGACTTAGTATTTTGGCATCACAAACATCTAATTTGAACCAGTGCTGCATTCAACATACCACATGACACACAAAAATTGATGTTTATCTGTGTTTTTTAATATTTACTTTTAAATTTAGAAATTAACTAATGTATAATACTAAAATTTTAATTATAGTCTACAATTTGATACTAAACAGTGTAATTAACTATGACATACTGACTTTATACTTTTAGTTGAGAAGGCAAACAATTGGTGGTGGGTGCTACCATCTAGTTGCTTTCTTTACAGTTGGTAGTTCAAAATTAGGGACAACAGGAAGTTTGATATAACTAAAAAAAAACTTGCTCAGCTTCGGATGCATACATAGTGAACTCGCACACAACATGATACTTGGTCATACTATATTTCAGGCAACATCATGTGTATGTTTATTTGTATACAACTTACAAACTAACCATGTCTGTTAATCATATTTATCGTGTTTGAACTAAACTGTAGTGTAGTTTTAATTTACTATATGCTTATGTACAAATGTAACCAGTGCTAAATTACTTAGGGTATTCATGCAATGAAGAGGAGGATGTGGATGTTCAACCTCTTTCCTCAGCCATAAGCTTTTAAAATTTCTCCAAAACACACATTTACTAGGAAGATTCAGTTGTGATAGCTGAATACGTATCTATAATCTGAAATACTTTAAAACAATGTAACCGTTATAATACACATGTAAGATGCAGGTTTCAGTCTTTCAACTGTGAATACTCTTTGTTTGGTGCACAAATCCATAATTAATGACTTCTTATTTTACGTATTGCTACTATTGATTTTTTTTCTGAAATTTTTTTAATAATAGTCTAATGTTTAAAAGAAGAAAAATCATTTCATTTTCTTGTCAAAAATCCAGAGGCTCTCTAAGAGTAATTATGATTAAAATATTTTGGTATCATCTCAGTTATGTGCTTAAGATTGGCATACTAAAATATAACTCTTATTCTAGATGTTTTAATTCTTCAGTTTATTTTAGAACAGTATGGAAGAAAATATAATTTGAAATAAAGCTTGAACATGTGCCTTTTAGAATGAAGTGCACAGATGCATGTAGTTGAGTGACCACAAAAAATTGAAGATGTTCTCCCTGCTTTCTCTCTCAGCAGGATGTTATACATATTTTTAGTTATCATAAGTACAGGAGTACTTAGAGTAGGAATGGGCCAGATGAGCAGTATGTGCAATACAAATTTAATTTCAAACACATTACAAACAGCATGTAAATAGAACTTTATAAGTACTTTAAACACATCGTTGAGTAGTAAACAAACTAATTGCAGAGTAACAAGCTACCAAAGCACTTGAGAAAGTCAGTAGGGTAAAAATTAAAATTTCCTCAGACCACAAGTTTGTTAATTTGACTGCCTGACTAACATTGTCAAAAAGGCATAGCTCTCCTGTTTTCACCTTATGTAAATGCAAATGATTCAGTTATGCTACCTTGGTTAAAAGTAACAACCTGCCTTCATATCATGTGTGGGTGCATGACTGCTTATGCACACGTGCCATGTGATAGGTGTTTTACCAATAATTGGTTCGGCAATTGGAGTTGGGCCGATTATTGCATAATCTGGTGACAGTTAGAATTGGTAGAATTTGTTGAATTTCCCAATCTTGGAAAACCGAGAAATTAAAAATAACACTACACAGGATACTTTATTCACAACAACAATCTTCTGATTAAAAAGTATGCTTACAATCATGACTGACCCTGTACTTTTTCCTTTTTGTTTTGACACAAAACATTAAACATTATTCACCATAGAATAAAGTATCATCATTTAAAACAATCTGTTTGTGATTTTTTTTTGCGTGGCACATTTATTGATAAATTCAACCATTTCAAATTTAATGAAGCTTCAAAGTACATTCTCTGCCATAGTTGTAATAATCAGAAACACTATCAGTTAGTTTGTTTTCATGAGTTGTGACATTTAACTGATCAAGCCGCACAAGCTTGAAGTAATTGAAAATAGTAGAAAAAAATTCATAATGGTGATATTTCAGTTATTTGGCTAGTTGGAATAATTTGCAAAAAAATAATTTTGATTAGTTGATTATTTTCTTAACATTTATTGATTTAATCATGATATTAACTAATTGATTATTTTTATGTAACTAACTGATGTAGTTGAATTAATTGACTAACTCTGTTTACATTACTTGATCTTTTAATGTGGTGTGCTTCTCAAAATACATCATAAATAGGAAATTATACCAATTTTTCAAAAAGATATTTCACTTCATAAAAAAAATTACATTGGTTAAAGCAACGTTGTTTATAGATAAAGTAAAATGGAGGCATTATAGCTGGTGAGTAAAAGATAGCTTAAGTAAACAAATTTCTTCAAGGTTGTGATAATATTTACATCACTGTTATCTCTTCAGTAACAAAAGATTAGGTTATATATATATATATATATTAAAGGGTTGAAACATTTGTGAAGATATGTTGAGTAGTTTAATACTAATCTAATATTTACCTAAGTTCTAAGATTGAGAGAATAGTTTGTTGTTAGATATTTTTATCACGAGAAAAAAGTCTCCCCTATTTACAATATTTTGAAATCTTAAAGGTGCAATTGCTCCGAGACCCAGGTGCATTGATTCAGTGCACCTGTTGTATGGCTTCTTTTATTGCATTGCAATAAAGAACTATTGGATGAAATGAAACTTCTGAGTTACTTCCTACAGATTATGTAGCTTCTGCAAATAAAATTTCTTATTTCTATGTGATATTTATATGGATTTGCAGTTTTGAAATTTCAAAAATGATTTGTGATATTTTTTTGCAGATTTTAATTACTGATATTTAAGTCTTCATACATTCTTTTAAAACCTTTCTTTAAAGTATTTATTTTATTAAAATGGAAATTTTATTTTTGTTTTCATTTGAAAAACAATGCACACAGTTTCACTATATTCATCGTTACTGGCATACAATAAAAATAGCTTTTAACATACCAAAATTATAAACAACAGATGTTTTTATTGAATAAATTTCAATTCTGAAATTTTTGTTTTCCTTAATTCTTGGAAGAAAACTGAAGTATTTTCCATAATTTTCTGAATTCAGTGGTGCAGTTTCCCTTGAGTTGATGTACCCACCCAGGCATGAAAAGAGTTAATAGAAACATAACACACATTAGTTACGTACTGGCAATAAAGCTATATTTTCTTTTTTTGAAGTTTTAATTAGCAGTTACTGGACAAAGAATGTGTGAGTTGGGTTAATTCTGTAAAAAGTAATCAATCTTTAACAGCATCTTTACCTTGTTCCCTGAAGAAGAAAAAAGAGCTGATAGTTTTTTATTCATTAAGATATCAATCTCTTTAATACTCAAAATTACAGAAATGTTGCTATTGGTCTTAATCTGTGAATTCTACGTAGATGATATTAAGCACAACAAATACGTGCAAAGTTAATTGTGACTAATTTTTCAGTTATTTGTTTTTAACCAACTGTATTTAGTAAACACAGGAATATATAGAACATTTTATGTATTTGTGGTACAGGTGTAAAAGCCACCTGAAAATGTCTCATGTTTAGTCAAAAACTTGGAGAGCAGTTCACATTCGATGTGATGCACTACTCTATTGGTGTAATATCATATTTTGTTAGGGTTTAAATCACAAACACCTACTATAGATGTTGGATTTAGAATTAAAGGAGACTGGTACATATTATTTGGAATTTTTGTTTATGTTTAGTGAATGGAAACATGGCAAATTTAGCAGAACAGGCAGATCGACTTCTTGATTTCAGTCAGAAGCTTGACATTAATGTTCTGGATAACATAGTAAATTGTATGTATGTTGGAGAAGGGAGTCAGGTATGTGACTTATTTTTACATGGATAGAATTTACACCTAAGTTTTCTTAAAAACATTTATTCACCTAATCTACAGTTTTATCCAAACTTTTATGGAACTGAAATTTTGCCCAAAATCTGTATTTTAAATATAAATTTTCTTAAAATTTTAGATCATTAGGTGGTACTGAGATATTTTACCGTTAATTCACATAAACTTGCTGAGACGACATGAAATGAAGGTTGAATCTTTTTTAAAGTTTAATGAACATTTACATTACAAATGTTCAACATTTTTCAGAGTTTATCATAAAAATATCTTATGATTATTTATTACTATATTTGAGAGGCTTCAGGCTTATTTCCCTAAATAAATTCAAGCAAAATATGATTTGGCTGATACATTACATTAATTTGGTCAAATTATTCATATATGAGAAAAATAATTAGATGTGGCTAAATTGTACTGGTTTTTGAAAATTTAGAATGTTTCCATATTTTTATAATGCAAGTTTTGTACAATATTTATAAATATTTAGTCCTCTTTCTTCATTCTTAATTTTATTTGTTTTTATGATTTTATCCAAGTAAATGTTTGAATTTCCTCTGAATAATGTTTTACACCAAACAACTTTGTGTTTAAAATAAAACTTATTACTACTGTTTCATTGTGTGTATTATAGGGGGATATGTGTATATAATGTTATTTATTTCCATCCATTCATGCATGTATATAGAGTACAACTGAAGACTTCAAATGAATGTTAGATTTTAATGTTATTTTCCCCAATCAATTTACAGCATAATGACACAGGTTCCTTAATCTTGAGCTCTGTAAATTCAAGATGTAGTTGCATCAATATTAGTCTGTAAGACATTGGTGAAGAACAAAAAATACAGCATAGTGACACAGTCTCCTTAATCTTGAGCTCTGTAAATTCAAGATGTAGTTGCATCAATATTAGTCTGTAAGACATTGGTGAAGAACAAAAAATACAGCATAGTGACACAGGTTCCTTAATCTTGAGCTCTGTAAATTCAAGATGTAGTTGCATCAATATTAGTCTGTAAGACATTGGTGAAGAACAAAAAAAAAAAGATATTATAAAATGTCGCTGTTTCTAGAGAAACAGTCTTCTCTAAATGAGAGATTTATTTAACAATGGTCAGGTTTTGACTATTTTGAATCATACCATCCAAATACTTAACAAAAATTGGAATGTGACAGTTCACAACGAGTCTGAAATCCACTTATTTGTGGTTCAAATATGAAAGCAGAAGTTTAATGGTGTTTTGATTATAAACTGTGAAGAGTGAATCACTAGGGGTGGGGGTTGGTGTGGTCTGAAAAGTCACATTTTCCAATTTTTGTATTCTGATGGTAAATATACTAAAAAAATCTCCTAAGTAATACCTGATTGTCATTGTGATGTGATAGTGTTAAGATTCAAGAGTTATTGTAGTGGTATGGGGTTTGTTTTTATGGCAGGGGTTGGGTGCTTTGACTCCTTTAGATAGATAAAACATATTCATAGTTTACATGAATACTATTGCTAATTGTATCCATTCCACAGTGCTACATTTCCACCCTGATGAACAAGTATTCTTCCAAATAATATTGCAACAATCCATTACTGTTATACTGTTTGAAACTGGTTAGAAGAGCTTGACAAACATTGTCCAGAGATTTCAATCTAATTGAGTAGCTATGGGATTAAGTTGACTGTTGCATTCACTGCTGTAATTCTTTACCAACATCAGAGAATAAACTTTAGACCACACACACACACACACATACTCCTTGAGGAATGAGCTCCTATTAGTCAAGATGCCTTTCAACACCTATGGAGTCTGTGTCTTGGTAGTGGTCCAGTCTGACATTAAGTGGTAGTGAAGTGATTAGACTGTGTGTGTGCATGTATGTATGTATTTCTACCTTTTTATTGAGAGATAGTACTACTTGTAGTTAAATAAGTTAACTAAAATATTTCTTTTAGAGAGCATTGTCATTGTGTGACTTCTTGTTTCAGCAAAGAATGGCTCAGGATATTCTTACCAAATTGAAGGAGCATCCTGATTCATGGACGAGGGTAGACACTATATTGGAATTTTCAAAAAATCAGCAAACCAAATATTATGCACTACAAATTCTAGAAAATGTCATAAAGACAAGATGGAAGATTCTTCCCCGAAACCAGTGTGAAGGTATTCATTAATATTTAGTGTGTTGTACAGCACTATTATTTAATTAGTAAGAAAATACATGTATATATAACTTGAGGTAGTTTTTTTTTCCTTTTTTATTGGTGTTGTTTTTAGAGCTTTTATTTGTAACAAGAAACTTGTGTTTTTAAAGTACTGAGTTATAAAATAAACTTATTTCTGGATTAGTGCCTTAATGCAAAGGTTATGCTAGACTGAAAAATTAGTTTGTGCATTGTTACAACTGTATCTCATTATGAATTACTCAGTTTTATGATACAGTGAACTAGAAAGTAACATAATCCAATTGTTGTGAGATTTGGAAAGAAGAATAATTAGGATCAAAGTATTTTAAAGGAGTTCTGTGGTTTTATGGTTGTAAATAATTAAAAAGATTATAGATGCACTGATAGATATATCAGTAGGCTATTGGATGTTTTTATTATTGTAGCTGATAACATACACTGATAGTTTTGCTTGTTGTTGCTTAAAATGTTGACATTCACTGCACAAATTTCATACATTTTGTATGATTATCAAAATGGACATCATTACACAACTCTCACCATTTCTATGCGCCATTCAAGGAGGCCATCAGTTTCTATGTTATCGAGTATTCTGAATACTGATCTTTTTAATATGAAACTTCTAAAATAGCAGTAATGTTTTTCTGTTAGTTTATTAGAACAATAAGCATCTGAATGTTAATAAAACTATTTTTACAAATATACTAAATTTTATTTTTTCATACATTTTTCTTATAATCCAAAGTGAAATGGACATGAATAATAATAGACTTTGTCTGATATTTCTGTCAACAAAATCAGTGCTGGCAAGATTATGGTTGACACAGTGTACAATGTCAGAGATTACAACATTATTCTGGATTTCCCCCAACTGTATTTGCATTGTATTTTGAAGCTTAAACTGTGTTTTATTCTCTGAAGCAACAAAATTGTTAGGCTGAATTTTGTAAAATAAATTAAATAGTTTCATGCTGTTTTTTTTTTGTGGTGAACTTAATAATTATGTTTACATGTATAGAGTTTCTGCTATAAACTAACAAAGGTTACAGTTCAAAAGTTAATATATGTCTGTGTTCTTATTTTGCTAAGTGTTTCTAAAGGCACTAACTCAAAGTATTTTTTAAACTTTTTTTCATGACTTGTTTTTTATTCATTTTCTGAACTAAATGTATCAGGTTAATACTATGTATGAATTTTTGTTATAAATGCAATCAGAAAGAAAATTCTTTATAGATTATAGTTTTGTCAGTACTGTATGTTACCTGCACTAATATAAATATTGAAATCAGCTTATATGATTGGGTAATCATTGGCTATCAGTGTCATCCAAAAAATTCTTAATTTAGGTGTGTGCGTAATTTACTTTTGGTTGTATACTAAGGTAGCAAATTTGAATGAAACAAATAACTATGAAATTGCAGTATGTACTCTAAGGCTTATAAACTTGAACTAAATGTTTAGGTATATTGAATATGAAGTGTCTTCACACCTCAGTGTAGAGATAGGAGGAATGGTGTATTGTTTTGACATTAGATTTGTTTTGAACATTATTATGCAAATATTTAGCAGTTAAGAATATAAGAATGATATCTGTAGGTATAAAGAAATACATTGTTGGACTTGTTATAAAAACATCTTCTGAACCTGATATTCTTGAGAGAGAAAAGGTGTACCTGAATAAACTGAATATGATTTTAGTCCAGGTAAGTTCATTTTTCAGGGTTTGTGTATGGTGTTTGTGGCTTATTTTTTATGTTTTTTTTTGTAAAGATATTCAATGTGTTGTATAATATATGTACATCATATACAAATTATGTAACCTTCATGGAAACAAGTATAATAAAAAAACATTTTTTATAAACACAAGTAGGGATTAATTTATACGTAACCTATCTAGCAATAGTAATGTAGAATGTTTTAATGCTATAAAAAATATTGAAACAAGAAAGTCAAAACTACAGAAACAGAAACCAAGTTATTTAAAATTTAAAATTTTTTTATCCCTATTTTGGCAAATTACTGTAATTATGTTAGTCTGAGTTAGGTTACATATACATCAATCCCTATTTACAAAATGATTTTTTTTTTTTTATTATTCTTGTAGATTTTCTTTCTATCAGCTATATTTTTGTATTAGCAATATGAAGTATAGGGTGCGTATACCGAATTCAATTTTATTACTCATCAGGATCTCTACAAATGACCCTCTAATTATATGCCAGAAGTAGCACATCATCTATTTTATTTATATATATACATATATGTACTAATATCCTTTTTTGCTACAAGAAAGGAATCATTAGGACCCCAAATGGAAGAGTACTGTGAAAGAATTAGAGTGATAAGTTTCATCAGTTTTTCTGTATGCTTGTCCAGAAAAGTCACTTACTTACTTTGATGAAAATTCATTGAAATAATGAAATTTTCATTCACTCCATAAACACGTATATAGTGGAGTTAGGTGGCTTTACAAGTACTATAAGCCTTAGTTTTGCTCAACCAATACTGTGGACTAGTCATTGTTAATATTCAGATATTTTAAAGGTGGTTTTAAACTGGAAATTTTTATGGCTGTCATTTTGTTTCATCACGATTCCTACTGTTAAGTACTACCATACTTAATGATTAGTGAATTATGATAGTTATTTCTTTCACTTCTTTTTCACTTGTCTGTTTTCTGTATGAAACATTTCACAGATGTCTGTAAGGGTATTAAAATTTTAGTTGGTCATTATGATATACAAGTAATTGATTTTGATAATCAAATATACACAAATTTGTAGCTTGTTTATTTAAAAGTGTTGTTAAAATGTGCAAGGGTGTGAAGTTATTGGATAAGAATTAGCAAGCTTTTTTAGATGTGAGGTTAGAAATAGCAGATGTTGCTCTTGCATCTTACGTTAAAAATATATGGGGGGATTTTATTGTCATGCAAGGTCAAAGAAAGACAAAGGACTTGGTTTGCTTACATTTGTATAGAAGGTCTTTCACTAAATCATTTTATGTAGTATAAATTGATTACCATTATTATAATGTTATTTTTTATGAACAGTTTCTATATTTTATGAGATATTTGGTGTGTTCATTACATGGTGATATATATAAAATACGTAGATGTAAAACACTTGTCACTGTTATTTTATTGGAAAATTGTAATTATTTTCAGATTTTAAAAAGAGAATGGCCAAAAAATTGGCCCACTTTTATCAGTGACATTGTTGGTGCAAGCAAAACAAATGAGAGTTTGTGTCAAAACAACATGGCTATCCTCAAGCTTCTCAGGTGAGCAAGTTAATTCAAAAGTATATGGATTTGAGCAGATAGTTAAGACATCTGATATCTCAGTGAAGGGTCACTTGGTTGAAAACTTAACAATATGTTTGTCTTTTTGTTATCTACTATTTTAAAGTTTTTTTATATTTTCATATTTTGCTTGTTGTATCAACCTATTTAACTAAATAAGACACAATGAAGATGCTAAAATAGTGTTTTTTCTATCTATTGTGAAAATTTTAACTGTCACGTCTTGTCCATGGTTTGAGTGGACATTGCAAGTGCTGGAAAAAAAGTGCAAGGAAAAAAGATTATAATGGAGTATTGTGATCATGAGTTTTAAAATATTCTAGTTTACTCCTTTTCATTTTGTGTAACTTGGTCTTGGCTCAACACGTGTCTTTCAAACTGGAAGCTCTTTGATGGATAATATATTTCTTCTTTGAAATATTTTACTTTATAGGAATCTAAATAAATTATATTTAGTAGTGAAAACAGGAACTTGTAGCCATACCATTTTTGGTTGTTTCTTTAAGTTCATTTCATTGTTTCTTATAAAGCTTGTATGGGTGCTTGAAAACTGGAAAAGCCTGGAAAACTGCTTTCACAAAATCCATTGTTGGAATAAGCTGGAAAATTGGCATTATACTATAGGGTCTTGAGTTTATTTTTAATTTTGTATTTTTTTTAAGCTCTTGCTCTTCACAAATATATTGGATATGATCTAATTTGATATGGCACACTTTTCATGCTTTTAAATTGACTCATCGTTAAGTGTGTTCTCATAGTGTGTTCTCATACGAGTACTATGCTCATCAGAACTAGTGGTTGAGGTTGTGGTTGCAGCTTAATAATGGTTTATTTAGCTGTTTCTTTATTTCTTGAGAGCTATCATTGAAATGCTTTACATTCACTCAAAACTGCCAGGAAGTTCCATTTTAATTACAGATGGCCAGCAGTCATATTTATGCAGAATTGTATACACACACACACAAATAACCCCGTATTCATATATTTAAAAGCCATAGAATCGAAATCTGTCTCCAGATGTGTTCATCCTTTCAGCAGTGGGTTAGATATAATGTGACAGTCAATCTCACTATTAGTAGGTTGGCACTTCAAAATTAGGAATGGTGGCAGGTAGATTTCTTTCTAGTTTTCTAGTATTCATTCCCTAAAGGTTTTCAAACTTTGTAAGATAAAGTTGTACTTATCAAAAGTTTTATGAAGTTGATGTGATTCTAATTTATGGTGTTCATCTGTAAATTTAGGCTACTTGTAGAATATACAAAACACTAGTTTTTAACTCTTTCTAAGAAATTATTTGCCAAATAAATAGATTGAGTTATGATTATTTAATTCCCTTTGTTTAATGTGTAAAGAAACTTGCATGCAGCTTGTAATACCATGTTAAAACAGAAGGTTTTATTAAAGTTGATAAAACCTTGTATTTTAGCGTGGAACATCAACCTGTAAGCTTCTCTTTATATTTATATATCTACATTTAAATAACATTAGAACAACATTTCCTTGGTTGGGTACAAAGCATTTGAGTACTGAATACTCATAAAAACAACATTTAAGGCTCCAACATTGTCATAAGCATGCTTATGAACATATAAAACAATCCTAAGTTGTCTAGAATAATAAAATAAATAAAAACATTCACACTTGATGTAATTTTTATCATAAATTTGAGGCCTATTGTAGTAACATGCCTAGAAGAGTGTATACAGTATTTTTTTCAACAGGTGACTGATAAGTAAATAAGTCCTCATTGCTTAACGTATGGCTTCAGTGATGTAAGTTTGGCATCATAGTGGAAATGATAAAGTTTTCATAAGAGCTTTAATCCTCACAACATTAAGAGATAAATTGAGTAAAATCACTGTAAAAAGACAAAACTGCCTTATCTTTTCCAAAGTCTTTACTAGAATTGTGCCGTATTTTAAGAGGTATTATGTATCATTAAGCATGATAAAGAACAGTTGTCTTATTTCAGCATTGTGTTTTTACATTAATTTTATTTTATTAGCTTTTAGAGATATCCAGTGTCCTATATATCACTGCACATGTTCTTAGTGTTTGGGTGTTAGGAAATAGGTACTGTAGGTAATGCATTATTTAAAAATTTTGTATCAAAATAATTATTTTTTGATGTAACAGTGTAACTGCTGAAAGCTGATATGGAAAATGAAGATGTATATGAGAACAAAAAAACATCTGCAGTTTCGTGATTTTTTTATCACAGATTTTGTATCTATTGGTTTCTAATGCTTGTGGATTGTAACATGAACATTTTTTTTAGTCTTGAATGTTATAATGTGTGTTGGTGTGAAAAGTGCCTAAAATTTCTTCATTATACTTGAAAAATAGCATAAACCCCGTTCTTAGTTCAGTAATGTTATGTCTGATTTATTTTTGTCACAGAAAAACTGTTGTATTAGTAAGTACTGGATAAGGAACTGACAAATAAAAGTATTGTGTTAAAATGAACTTTAAATGAAATGGGTTGTGAAGATATTTATTAAATTCTTTTTTAGTGAAGAAGTATTTGATTTTTCAAGTGGACAAATGACTCAGACTAAAGCTAAACATCTGAAAGACACCATGTGCAGTGAATTTTCCCAAATATTTCAGCTTTGCCAGTTTGTTATGGTAGGTGTTGTAGAATGATAATATAACCATAATTTTTGTAAGTCTAATGTTAGTGTAGTTTTTCTGTTATAATGAAAATGTGCTGCTGGGCATTGTAAGAATAATAAAATTTTGTATAATAATAAATAATATTGAATTGGTGTAATCAACCATCTTTCCTCAGGCACAAATGTTTAACGTTTAGAGTTCAGTACAGTTGTTTAGCCCACATATTGATTAAAAGTAACAATTTCATTTATTTCTCATCTTATTATGCTCACAAAACAGTATTTTTTTTCATCTTACTAATAAGTTTTTGAAGTAAACATAAAATTTTACAAGTATCACAGTATTAACAATTTAAGCCTTTCACTGACTGACTCAAAACTTGAACATTTTGTGAAGTGGTAAAAAAAAAATAATATAGTGCATATTTGAAAACAATCCAAGTGTTATACACAGTCGATCGGAGTTCCCTTTTTATTTTCCTGGATATTCAAATTATATAGCATATTCACAATTTCAAACTATGCCATACTTAAATTACTAAAAACAAGGGCAAGCTTTGCTAAATCTATTACATGTAATTTGTTGGTAATATGAGTCACTTATTAGTAAATTAATTAAAAAGAAAACTTCCTAAATTCTGACAGACCATCACTTTATTGAATTAGTCAAATATTAGCAGTCTTGAATAATTCTCTAATGTTCTCGCATAATGTAATCTTAGAATGTTCGTAGGAATTGCTTCGATATGTTACATACAGTCTCGGACTAATTAAAGCTATGAAAATCAATAATCCATATGACTATATCCATTGTCCAACCTTCATAATGAACAAATATTTGCTTCACAAACAACCTATCTTTAAAAAAATAAGTGTTGTGAGGATTTCACTTTAATACTTTAACATAACTTTACAATAAATATCTATTTGAAATTTTAAAACATTAAATAAAAAGGAATAAAAAATTGATGAAAAAATATGATATGTAGTTTCACATGTTACTGCAATAACTCTCGTGCCACAGGCTCGGCAATTCTGCCAAGCCCATGACCCCAAATTGACCTTTTATTATGTTTAATATGTTTTGTGTATCTTCATGAAATTTCACAAGCTTTCATTAAACATTAGAATTCTATTGTAGACAAAAAAATCTGAATTGTTAATAAAATGTTTTTACTAAACATACATCATGTATACTAGTTAATGTTAGTGTAGCCTATGTAATGTGTAAAGTCTAGTATATTCTAATCCGTTACAGTGATGGCACATAATGAGACACACAATCGGCAAATAATACTGTTTGAATACAAGAAGGGAAACTGCCTCTGTAGCCACAAAGAATATCAAAGAAGTTTATGGAAATGTTTTGAAAGTTTTTAAGTGTCAATGATGGTTCAGCAAATTTTGTTCAGGTGACTTTAGCCTTAAAAACTGTGACGGCAGGGGCTGACATGTTGGAATTGATATTGATGCTCTGAAGATGCTTGTTGAGTCTAACCCATGACAACACCCTCGTGAAATGGCCCTGAAAATGCATGTCTCTCATAGAACAATACGTAAACATCTAAGGAATATGGGAAATCACCATAAAGATGGTGTTTGGTTGCGAACTCTCCGGTGATCATAATTTCCAATGTGTGAACATTGCTTCATCACTTCTGGTGCGTAATGTGAGTGAACCATTTTTGGACAGAATTGTCACCTGTGATGAAAAATGGATCCTCTATGCGAATGTTAAATGCCAAAAACAGTGGCTCAGTTCTAGACAAAAACTACTTCTGACCCCAAAACCTGGACTCCCATCTGCAGAAAATGATATTTTGCATTTGGTGGGACATCAAAGGAGTAATTCATTTCGTACTCCTTAATCCACAGCAAATGTCAGTGCGGAGATCTATAGTCAACAACTGGAATGTTTAAATCAAGCCCTTCATTAGAAATGCCCTTCACTCTACTTCTCCACGACAATGCATGTCCACATGTGGCACAATTGACGCAACACTTGGTTATGGAGTTGGGTTGGGAAGTTCATTTTATGTATCTACTTTTAATAGTCTCTTATAAGTTAATTTATTTGTCTAATTAAATGTTTCCCATTGGCATAATATCATGCCTCTAAGGGAAATATTAAAAGCAAGTTTTTTTTTTTTTTACAGGAAAATTCACAAAATGCACCGCTAGTTAATTCAACTTTGGAAACATTATTGAGGTTTTTGAATTGGATCCCTCTTGGTTACATATTTGAAACAAAGCTGATCAGCACTTTGATCTATAAAGTAAGTTAATGTTACAAGTTGAATTTAAACTGATTACCAAAGCTTTCGTGTTTTGTTGTACATTATGCCAGTAACATAACTTTAATCTTTGGTGGCCATTTCATATTTTATGTAACACATACATGAATGTTAATCATTTAAAATTGAAGATTTAATTTGGGGAAAACTTTTGTCAGAAGGAAGTATAGAAATTCATTCGTATTATAGTGTCTTTTAGTACTTAAAGCATTTTTCTTATTCATGATGTATTGGTACAACAGGTATAGCCCAGAACATGATTTTATATATAAAATGAATTTACATAACTGTTGTCTTCGTTTTTTTAAGGTAGAACCATTATAGGATTGTAAAATACATCTTGAATAAGAATTACATATATAGATTTTTGTTTTTCATTATGTTTCATACAATCCACCTTCAATAACGATTACATATAGATAGTTTTTACTATTAAAAGCCCCCCCCCCCCCCCCCCCCCCC